ACAAGCTTTATTACAGCAATTATGTACAACAGTACAGCAAAGTGTAAATAACACAACCCAGTCGAATGAAATTACATCACTGGATGCGACTGCAAATTAACCACATTTACAAATCTGAGAATAGGCTTGTCTCGCTCTGGAGCTGGGAAATTGCTAATGGTTTTGCAGTTTCAAATTTCATGTAACCACATATGGGACGCAAGCTCACGTGAAAGTTGTTTTCGTGCTGTAGGGCTGCACAGAGATCACAACCTCGCGAAATCCCAACTTTATCCGATTTCTGTTTTGAATAATTTTGCAATTTCATAAAAAACTGTAGGAAATGTGCAAAAAGCTGTCGTGTGAGTTTTTCAATGGGACTCAAATTTATGAAACAGGGTGATGACGTGACTCTCGTGCTATTTTTAGGGGCCAGATTAAAAAAAAGGAGGAAGGAATTCTCCACTTACCCAATTTTTGACCACCAGTTTTGACATGCTGGTCAGTGGTTACGTGGTAGCTGGCACAAATTCTCTCTTCCTCTCTCCAATGGCCAGTTTCCGTGAGACTAAAAGATTTGTTCTCAGGTATCCTAATTTTATGTACATTACGGTAGATTTATTATCGGTTTCACCGGGAAATTTGGTCGATAAAAAGCACTTTCTAAAACGCAGTTCTACACTAAAACAGCTATAAATCAATCTATCAAGAAAACTGGAATAAGATACACAAATAGATGCATTATAAACAGCACAACAGCATTCCCTGTGGCAAAATATTAGGACGTTGTAAAATCCAACCTTTTAGAAGGATAATTTCCGATCATTTAAAAGCAAGATTCACGTTATCATTAAAAAACACCGTGAATTCGGTGATAAAAGCCGTTGTGAAGACACCCTCTGCGTTCAAAAGCACCAGAAAAAATGCAATAAAAAAGTACAAAAATTGTGTTGAAAGACACATACAATGTTAAATTCACCGGAAAAAAGCAAAATTCTGCGGTGACCGGAGGGGGCGGGGGTGGGGGCGGGGAGGGGAGTGTTATAGCTTGTCGGAAAGTGTGAACTGTTCACAGTGGTTAAATTTAATCACTGAACAAGCTGGATAACAAATGGTGGTAAAAATCAAAAAGATCTGCCCCGCTTGGTTTGCGTTTCCTTTTTCAAATCTTGGACAATCACAACAGACAACATTAATTTATACCCATTTCATTAATATATGTACAGGATTGCTTCAAAGTAGTGAATAAGCATTTCGTATTGTAGATAAAGGACAGTGGAGGGAGGAGCTGAAGAAAACCATGAATACATAAGATTCAGATGTCATATGGAATCGCTCTGATATGTGCTGGCGTTTATCGCTCCTCCACTGGGTGCAGGATTGTTGGATGCTTTGCC